CACAGGTCTGATGCCTGGCTGTTGGTGGTAGGTGCCATCGAGCAACCCTGTGAACACAGTTCTGATGTCTGACTGTTGGTGGTAGGTGCCGTCGAGTGAGTGTGGCTCATAGCGACCCTGTGAACACAGGTCTGAGCCCTGTCCTGCCCTGTGCCCGCCTCCTCATCACTGACTGTGGTTCATAATAAACTATTCAAAATCACTTAATTGTGTTCCTATGAAACTTGTTCATCAACCAAAAAACATTTCTTTGAACAGAACAGGGGGAGACTGCATGGTTTAAAGCCAGGAAAGGTGTACATCGAGGCTGTATCCTTTGACTCTACGTGGTCTGTCTGTGCTGAGAACACTCTCCATGTATCCAGACCGTATGTACAAGAGCGTGGGGTCAGTGCTGGAGGAAGGCTCCCCGAGAGCCTGCGATACGTAGATGCCCCAGCCTTGCTTGCTCAGATTGAAGAGGGCTTGAAGAACTGAGATACAGAGCAAAGACGACAACAGCCTTCAGCCGAAAACCCTCACAGCTGAGCTGAAGCAACATCATGATAGAGGGACAGAAGATGGAAACCAAAGGTTTCGTTTGGAACCATGATATACACCTCTGGACGGATCAAATGACACGTGGCATTGGGAAAAGACTTCCTTAAAGTATCAAGGAGCAAAGGTGTCACTGAGGATGAAGGTGCGCCTGACCCAAGCCATGGCATTTTCATTTGTTTCATGCGTGTGTGAAAACCTATGAGGAATGGGAAAGCCCAGGAAGAAGCGTTTGTGCTCGGGTGAGTGGAGAGCCCTGGCCAGACCACAGCCTGTTAGCACAAGACAGAGGGAAGGTGGCCTTGCTCCTGACGAGAGCGCACTCAGACTTCCCTGGGCCTGGAGGACGGGAGACATTGGGACGCTTGGTCGTGTTCCCAGGAGGGGCCACAGTGGCACTCACCCGCCAGTCAAGCCCACTCCACTCTCCCTCCTCCTGGCTGGTCCTCCGCATTGCCAAGCATGGAATCTTTCTCCAGGAACTGACTCCCCCCTGCACCCCTGCCGCGCCCCCAGACCCTCAAGAAAACAGGCTGACACAGGCGTGGCAACAGGGGCCCAGAAGCAGGGCCTATGAAGTGGTGGCGTGGACCTGCGGGATCCACCACACGTGTTCCAGATGTGTGCTCCAGATGTTGTGTTGTGTGTGGGCACCTTTGATCCCCAGGCTGCTGATGTACATGCCACATCTGGTCACCACAAGATGCCGACCAGTGGGCAGACGTCCTCTGGGCGGGACACTTTGTGTCTCCATGCAGCAAGCAGCTTATGACACTGTGGCCCAGCCCTCCTGGGGCTGGGCAGGCAGGTCCTGGCCGCCGTGGACAGAAGCCTCTAGACAGATGCCCCACCCCCGTGGCCGCTGCACGGGGCCTGTGTTTTTGCCTGGAACGTAGGTTGTCACATCTGAAACTGTTTAGCAGCTAAAACAGAGAGAGACACACTTCAAAGGTGCCGGGACCCAGAGGCAGTGTCTCACCTTGAAGTTCACTGCCCTGGAGGGCGGCCATGGAAAAGGCTTGGTCCTCCAGAGGCTTTGCTTATTAAAGAAAAACACGCAGCTCCCGTCAGCACAGCCACGGCCTGAAGCTGCTTGCTACAGAGTCAGATGACGTGGGGCCCTGGGGACACGAGGCCTGGTGGAGCTGAGAGTGCAATGTTAGGTGTGATATCCTGATGACACAGGTCAGGATGGAGCTGAGACCTGGTTAGCAGACGTGAGGTCCTGGTGACACAGGGGCACTGTGGGGCTGAGACCCTGTGATCAGACCTGAGGTCCTGGTGACAAGGGACTCTGGGGGAGCTGTGTCATACAGGACAGTCCAGGGTGGGGATCCTGGGTCACACAGGACAGTCCAGGGTGGGAATCCTGGGTCACACAGGACAGTCCAGGGTGGGAATCCTGGGTCATACAGGACAGTCCAGGG